AAGCATTCCCTCCAGAAACACTGAAGAATTTTCACAATTTGGTGCAAAAATGCTAAAGGTGCAGAAACCCAGAGTACACCATACGTCCTGGAGGATGATGGTAAGTAACATAGTCCAGAACGAGACAGCTTAGCAAAACACAGCTCTAGAAAATACTACTTGATTCCAGAATACTCTACGTGAGAGCACAACACACAGTCTATAACCCCAAACTGCACACAAATTAGCCAGTTCCACAATTATCCAACAGAAAATATTATCCACTAAAAAGCCTAAAAGATAGTGTGCTCCAACTGACCCAAACTCTTCCAACATGTAGGGCTTCCCCACTGTGGCCATACTCTATGACACTCTTTAGGTCTTCAAATCCATTCCACACGATTTGAACAACAGATGCCTCACCGGGTTCTTGACTGCTATTAGCATCAGGATGATTTTTGTCTTGCGTACTAGTCAAATGCTTTTGCTTTTCCAATGGCAGATTTTGTTTTGCTTCTTGATGACGTTGTCTTGGGGAAAGTAGCTGATTAATTGTCCCATAAGATACTACAGGGTTTGGTTCCAAATCAATAAATTCCAAATTCCATGGAAAAACATGAATAGCATTGCATTTCAGAAACGCATGAGCAGCGGATGCATTCTGTACGCTGGGAGGCTGGGACTGACACACTCTAAAAATGGAATCCATGTGAATTAAGTTCAGCAGCTTGTCTTTGACGGTGCTCATTTCATCTTTATCACACAAAGTCTTCTGCTTCTGCTCAGATGTATGGGAGAAAATGCTCCCTATGAAATTCCATATATTTGGGAGAACATTTGAGCCAAACGTCATGCTTGCGTCAGCCCTACTCGGTTCAAGTACTCCTGGCTTTAAGTAAGCTTCTTTGGCAAAAGGATCCTTTACTGTTTCTTCTTGCTTCATGTTATTTTTCACAAAACTTTTGAGCAAGATGTCATTATCTGTGGAAGGCGTGCTGGTGATGTTTCCCTCAAGTTCACGTGTTTTGGGACATATCAGAAGCTCCGTGCAGGGTTCTAATCTCCCATAGGGTGCTGCTGGCATAAGTGTACCTGAGTATGAACAAAGCAGGTCAATAAGAGCTTCCACCCTGGCCGCATAGCCTTCTCAAGCTGCCACAAGAACCTGCCCTGTTGCTTACCAATTTTGATGTAAACGTGCGTGTGCTGTTCAACCCACACAGGAAAGATGGCTTTTGGAAATACTACTCGAATCTGGTCAAGAAGATGTTTTTCAAGAGAGGAAGCGTGCAGTTCCTGGGAAAACATAATATCATCATAAATTAAATATTGCACACGTTTTCAACACTTGAAGACAGAAACTCTACATCCCTAAGACACCATTCGAAATACAAAATACAATTAAACCCCGCCACATTTAGTATTCCCTTAGGGGCTGAAAAGAATGGGGCATTGGTAAAAAACAGCTTGTGTCAAAACCTCTGTCATCTGTAAGAAAAGGATGGGAAGAGGGGAAAAGTTTTTATTACCAGAATTTCCCAATCATCTGTTGAGAGTGGTTCCACTTCTACTTGCCGACAGGAGGAGACGTGGGAACAGGGTTCAAGAAATACCTGGCAAAAGCAACAGGTAACAATTTCAAAATATTAAACTTCTTATTTTCAAACATAGAACAACCCCATCTTTAATTCAACTAGAAAACTGGCATCTCCTTCATTACACACTTTCACTACTTTGAACATACATCTTCTCAATGACAGGAGGTAATTCACAAGCAGAAGACGGATGTTGAGTGTGTCAGAAATGGTTTGCTTGGGGCACGCCTGGGGACTGCAACACACCTCCAGTGGAAGGGAGTGTAGAAAGCACCAAGAGCTTCAGCAGCTAAAAATCCTTAATACGTATTGATCACATAATCATCTTTGCATTTTATTTTTAAATGTCCTGGACTTCAGAATGCTGAAAAATTGGTTGAGTTATGCACAAATTTATATAAGGCAGAAATGCCTGAAGAAATGAAGCAAAAGTACAATACAAAAGCAAACCCAGCTCCTTTATGAATGATGTCACAGAAAAAAGCCCCACTTTCACAGAACAGCTTTAAGGTCCTGTGTATCAGGAGGAACAGTAAAAGCATTTCAGAAAGCATTAACCATATAATTCAGAAGTTTTTACCAAAAGTTCCACTTGGCAGAAAGAAACAATTTTCAAGCAATATCATGTCACACATTTTAAAATAAAGTTTATTCAGTTTTTCTTGATATAAAACTAGTTACCTGTCCTCTGAGAGAGATTTATTGCAAGTCAGCTTTCATAAAAGTAACAACTGATTTTAAATTCATCTAGGTCCTCAGTTTCAAGCAAGAGTTGAGAGGAATAACTTTTCCCCAACACAGTAAATAGAAGAGCATGTTATTATGACACACAGCAAACTTGCAATTCCTGAATCGAAAACAATGACATAACTACCTAATTATTCATTAAGTTGTACAGATTAGTATTTCCAGGCAGCAGTTGGATGAGGTTTTCTTAGGTTTCCTTTGTCAATTCTTTTTCTCTGAAAGGCTAGCAATTGCTAGAACAAAAATAGTAGTCACCTTGCTACTGAACTAAGGCTAAAAGAGTAAACAAGGTAAGATAATACACTGCTTTGAGCCACATCCTTTGTTGTCTTCTATTATACTGAATGAGATTTTCTACAAGAGAACAGGCATACACGAGCATACTACACAGTAACGGCGAGTACAGTAGTACTTTTATATTCTTTAGGTTCATTTAAATCTCTACCTATTAACATGATAAATCCCCTGCAGGTTGAGATTTTAACAGTCCCATATCAGAAAGCTCTGGCTGCCTCTTGGCCACCTCTTCAACTTCTGTCTGATGAAAGAATCGTTTACAAGAAGTTTAGCAGTGTCCAAAAGTAAGAGGCCAATTTAAATACACATTCAAAGACAGAGGACACATGGAGACATGTGGTAGGAAAAGTGGGGGGGAGGAATGAAAATTTAAGCCTCAAGTAAGTCAAACAAGAAGAAATAAGAAGTAAGTCAATAATTACTTTAAAATAACAGGAACTCCAGGCAAAATATTCTCATGAGATAATTCCGAAATTGTTTAATTGCTTAAAAGTGTATTTTCCTAACATCAATGGCACTGCAGGTCGTGACTCCAACCCTGTGGAGACCTACCCACAGGCCTATCCTAATATTATTTAGGCAATTGTTAATGATTTAATACGCAAATATTTTCATGTTTGAGGTATTTCACGACAGTTAACTTTTCTTATGAGCAGATATAAATGAAGTAACTGTCTAAATACATGAAACAAGAAGGTCATAGCTAACTTGTACATTTTTATCCTTTCAGGTATCTTGCAATATACTCTTTATTTAAATAAGAAAAAAAGATTGCATTGCAAACCTGTTGTCCGTCTTTAATGCCAAGTTTCTCTGCCAACTGTCTGTTAATCTCTGCAATATTTTCACCCTGGTGACCTCGATGCCTGATTTCCATCCAGCTTAAAAATATAGGCTGATGACCACAGGATACTTGCACAGCTTGGCCCTATGAGTTTTAAAGAAACAAATTAACATCAAACAAGCTAAATGAGATGACTATTAGTCAACCTAAACTGGATTTTATTAGAGAGATCAAAGGAATTAAAAATATTGTCTGGATTTTCCATGGCCTATTATAATTAATATTCACTAACAGTAATTTGCAGCACATGTCTTCATCTTCACACAGCGCTGAGTTTCACAGGCTATTTTATCACCCACTTACCTAACACCTTCAGCAATTAGATTTAGCTTCTGATTCAAGTTTTTGTATTATCTACTCAGTGTAATCTATTAACATAATTATCCCCTTTTTAACATTTTTATTAGAGTTTGCATCTAATATGTTATTGCTGACAAGATTTTGGAGACAATGTATTTTTGCTTTGTGGATGATGCTCGGTAGAAGCAGGAGGCCACCATAACCAACCCTGTGCAGAGTGACCCCGCAAGACCCCAACGCAATTACACTCCTTTTTCCTCTTTCTTGCCAGTGAATTTGTGAGACATCCAGTAACTGCAGCAGAAAGGAAGCTAACGCTTCCGTGATAACACGGAACGGTTGGGGTTGGAAGGGACCTTAAAGCCCATCTCGCTCCAGGCCGGAGCAGGGACAGCTCCCCCCGCCCGGGCTGCTCCCCTGTCCAGCCGTACTGCATTTCCTGCAACCCCGCCAGCCTCCTTCTGCTGCCCCAAAGAGAAAACAACAGGTTTTTACAAGTCTGTAAGACTTTGCCTTTGTGAAACGTGCGTTTTGTCGGCGGGGAGCAGGGGGCTCCCCAGGCCGGCTGAGGCAGCCCAGAGGGGCTCTGCCGGGGCTGCACCGCCCCTCCGCCACCGGCCCCTCGGTCCGGCCCCTGCCCGCCCCGGCCGTCCCCTCGGCAGCGCCCGGCTCTCCCGCTGCCCACGGCCTCTGCTCTGCTTTTCCTGGGTGAAACGTTATTTAAAAAGGGGCTCAGCAGGGCTCTGCGGGACGGGGGCACAGCCAAAGCTTTACGAGCACCGGGAGGGACGGTTCTGCCGGGGGTCACCGCCCCCCCTCCTGCCCCACGGGCCGACGGACACACCGTCCCCTTAGCGCCGCCGGGTTCCTCAGTGTGTGTGGGGGGGGGGTACGTGTCTCCACATGCCCCACATGCCGCCGGACGGGCCGGGACGGGCCGGGCCGGGCCGAGCCCCGCCGCCCGCTCCGCCTTCACAGCCGCTGCCCCCTGCGCGCGGGGCGGGCCTGCCCACAACTCGGCCCCACCCCCCAGCCAACGGTGCCGGCCAATGCGGGCGCGGCCTATACCCGTTCCCCGCCTTTGATTGGCTTTTCTATCGAGGAGTTCGGCTCTTTCTGCCTGGCTTAGCGACGCCGTCCATTTCCGCCCCGGTGGGAGCCAATGAGCGTCCTGCCCCTTGCCTGATTGGCTGTTCTCTCGGCGAGCAGCTAGAGCCGCCTGCGCGGGGCGCGGTGGGCGATGGGAAGATGGCGGCCGGCGGCAGCAGCGGTCCCGGCGATGCCTGCAGGCACCACGCGCAGCTGGGCGTCTGCGAGTCGCGCGCCAAGTACCGGGAGGGGCGGAGGCCGCGCGCCGTCAAGGTAGGGCCGGATTCCGGTTCCGGCGGCTGCGGGCGGGGGTGTTGGCGGCGGCTTCTCGGCCTCCCCGCGCTCCTCCGGCCGCGTCCCGTGATTAGCGCCCGTCCTCGCTGCGGGGCGGGGCTCCGGTGTGCGGAGCGGACACCCCCGCCCGTCCGTGTGAGGGGTCAGGCTGAGGGCGGCCGCCTGGGTCTGTCGCTGTTGTTATTACAGAGTCAGAATGAATTCCCGTTACCGTGACGGCGTCGCTCCCACTGCCCGTTGTGAGCGGCCCCTGTCACCCCCGTGACACGAAGCAGAAGAGCGCACTTGGCGTTTTGCTACCCGCTGGGGAAGCCCCCGCTTCGCTCCGCGTCTCGCTTCTGTTTGTCTCTCTGTCCGGAAAGCACAAGCTGTTTGGTCACGGCGGCGGGGACACGGTTTTGCACACGCGGGATCTGCCCTAGGACGTCGTGCCAATTCTTAGATTTTCTCTTTGCCGCCACGTTTGCCCGTGAGGCCCCTCTGCCGGAGAGCACAGGGGTCTGACGCTGGTTTTTCTTTATCCTGGCAGTGCCTCATGCTACACTTTTTCCCCCCCCCCCCCCAGGTTTATACTGTCAACTTGGAATCTCGTTATTTACTCATACAAGGAGTTCCTGCGTTAGGTGTTATGAAGGAATTAGTTGAACAATTTGCATTATATGGTGCCATTGAGGAGTATCACGCTCTAGATGAATATCCAGCAGAGCAATTTACTGAAGTTTATCTTATAAAATTCCAAAACCTGCAATGTGCAAGGTATTGTACAGGGCAGTACCTGCCTCTTCCATGTTAATCTTTTACACCTTCTTTATTTACGATCTGTTAAGATTCTAAAGAGCTGATGTAAAGTCCTCAGTTTTGCCAATAGAATTTACTTCCCTTCAGGGTGGCCAAGAAGAAGATGGATGAGCGGAGTTTCTTTGGCAGTTTGCTGCACGTGTGCTATGCTCCGGAATTTGAAACTGTCCAAGAAACGAGGGAGAAGCTGCAGGACAGGAGGAAGTATATAGCAAAAGCAACAAATCAAAGAGGTTTGTCATTAAATTTCCTATAGAATCTTGACATCTCGCTTCAATGGTAGGTGCGGTTTTGGTTAAAGAAAATGCCTGGTATGTGGCTGTTTTAAAGATGCATTTTAAGTATGTTTGCAGCAGAATGGAGATGGATTTCAGTAGTTATAGGGCTGCATCTTTTTCAAAGCAAGTTTTCACTTTTGCTTAAGACTAAAATAAAGAAACGTTTAAGCTTTAATAATGAAGTATTTCTTTTTTTGCACTGGAAGGAAGTTTGGGATGATCTTTTCACCCTGTCCCAGCTTACTCAGGTGTGCCCAAAGGGACAGTTTTGTAAGGAAGGTGACTATACCAGAACCTCCAACTCCGTCTGCAGCGCTGTAGGAATGCTAGAACAGGCTGGTTTAACAAAGGCTGCTGGGCTGCCAAGTTCCCAGGCAGCACTGAAGGCTGGGCAAGCAGAGAAACAAGCAGATGGTCCAGCACAGACTTCCTTCTTGTGCTTAGCTACTTTGATATCATTATTCATTACATGAGGCTATTTAAAGGGAGTAAAATCACTGATTTTAACATCAAAATACCTATTTTTTTTCAATGCTGCAAGACAGCCTGTCCTTGAAATCATAACTGGAAGTAAGAATCATTTGTTTGCAACATGAGGAATGTTTTCCTCGTGTTCTCAAAACTGCTGAAATGCTTCTGCTCAGACATTGCTCACAAACCAGCAGAGGGAGCAGGCTGGAAAACCATAGTTTGCCACTTCGGAAAAAAGAATCCCAGAAGGGTGGCTGGGAAGGAAGTATCACTGGTATTGCTTCTGTAATTGTATTAAATGGTTGGGGTTTTTTGTGCGTTAGGACTAATAATGACATAAAATGGTGAAGCTGCTTTTTGTACTTTTACAGACTGCTTTGTGTTAAAGAAAGAGGGCCCTAAGAAGATTATGTCCAAGATCTCCGGACGTGATTGTCCATGGAATACATCAGGACAATGTGCAGCCAGTAACTGGGACCCATCCTGCTTTACAGGTTCTCAGGGGGTATCCTGCAGCGTAGGACATCCATCTGGGAACCATCATCAGAGCCCGCTGATATATCCCCATGATAACAACTACGCTGAAACTTCTGGGTACTTTGGCCAAAGCACATCCCCAACTCCAAGCATCCAGCAGGGAGGAGGTACCCCTCCAACTCCTTTAGCCCAGCACAGAACTGCTCTGATTGATAACGGGCTTGAGAGGTTTATGCCTCGTACAACTCACCTGCAAGAACGTAAGAGGAAGAGACAAGAAGGTAACAAGTTTTCCCTCATTGAAACAAGCGGGGACAAAACTGAAGTTGTTATTGGTCCGCAGCTACCAGAAATACCTAAAGTGGATATGGATGATGATTCTTTGAATACTTCAGCTACATTAATTCGAAATAAACTGAAAGAGGTATGGATTCTGGAAGCTGTGATATTTTCATTTTCGAACATGTATATTATGTGTTTCTTATCCATAAAAACAGATAAGACCCTAAGGTAACTTAATTCAACATTTTTTCAGTATTACCAGTTTATTTGCCACTTCAAGCTACCATTCTTACTCTTAACTCTTTCATAATGCAGAGTATTGCAGGTCATTCTCCATATATCTTATGCTACACTTCAGAAAGCATAAATGGCAGTGCATGGTCAGAAAATGATTTTTAGTAAACTACGCTTTTTTCCATGTGGGGAGCCATAACTCAGGAGTTAGTCCTGCTGACTCCAGTGTGGTGTGTGCACCTGCTTTCCGATTGGGGAAGTGAAAAATAATAAAGTCAGAGTTGAATGTAATCTTGCTCCAACACTACTTATGGCATTAAAAGATGTACAGAACCAGACATTCTATGCCAATAAGCATGTTTTAAGCTATATAACCTTTTCTGGAGGATATTCATCAGTTCACTCCTGATATAACTTCCCATTTAAATTAAGGTATGAAAAGCTCCCTTGACTATGGCTAACTGGACCTACTGGAAAGAGCTTATCTCCAGTCAAACTGATAAATAGGCACCCCTTACATTAAACACATTTCTAACTTATCTGTCAAAGCACGTTTTTCCTTTCCCTTCCGTTTTCTTCTTGGAATACCTGAGTCTAAAAAGCACTCTAAACTTTACTTGGAAAACACCTCTGGTAGGTGATAAGATATGTAATGCTATCGCTGAGTATCTGAAATCAGTTTGTGTGGTTAAAACATACAAATGGGACTGCTAACACTTCTGTTTTTTAAGTTTCAGCTCTTGTGTTTAGTGCTGCCTTTGTGGTACTTTTTTGCCGTTCTCTGCAGGAAAATTTAATTAAAGTGTGATTATAGTAATATACCCCTCCTAATACTCAAATGTTGGAGATATGGCCTTACTCTAAAACTAATATAAAAAAGGAGTGGTTACAGTTTACTAAGATTTATTTTTTTCTTTTTTTCCGCACTTTAGGTAGCAGATTCTGTTTCAAGAACATCTGTGGAACAGCCAGAGAGTAGCACAGCCAAACCACTTGTAAAGCAGAGAAGAAGAATATAGATACTGCTGGCAGTATCTTCCAACAGTCCTTTTTTAAAGGATGTAGTTTAAAATACTTATTTTTTTATGTTAAAAATAAAACTATTTTATACTGTTTTTCCAAGCAATTCCTTGTTAAAAATTGTATCAATGTGTTTCTTGGAATGAACAAACAGTGTAAGATGATATTGTAGCAGTCCTCTCCTGTGTACTGCGTAGTATACCATCTTTCATAATGCATAATACATACCTGTATTTAGGTAGAATGACAGAAGTAAATTCTATTTATTCAGTAGCTTTTACAGTAAAGGAATACTGAAACTTAGTAATACTTTCAAGTTGTTTCTATTTTTACTATACTATGAAGAATGGTGAAGAAAAAACATCTTACAGCAGTATTCCTCTTGGAGTTACAGTTTACGAGTTTCCCCGGAAGGTTTTCTCTTCAAAGGCCATGCTGCTCTGTTTTGTTTTTTTTTAAAAAAAAAAAAAGTTCATTTTCAATAAACAACAGGATTTAAATTTAATTCAAAAAGATGCTAAACTGAAATGTGTAAGCAGAGACAGTCTTTACACTTAGGCTTCATCTTTTTTTTTAGCTTAGAAAAGGTAAATTCCATAGCATTAATAATGTCATCACCAAGAGGTGATAACATTATATACGTACAATGTTTGTTATATATCTGTAAAAGACTGTAACATTCAAAATTATAAATGAAGGGGAAATTCAAATTGTAACTGCTGGGCAGCAGTAAGGTGTGACCAAAGCTGGCTCTGCCATGGAGGGCAGGAAGGAGTTAAACTGGCTGGGAGCAGGAAGGCCACAGACTGGGATGAGGATGTAAAAAGAGTGAAAGCTGCCTTGGTGATGAGACAACACCATAATGTGTACATCTCCTCACCAATAGTACAGCAAGTATTTGCATGTTGGTTTGGTTTTTTTAAAACTCAAGGCCGGTGTACCTTTAGGTCTGGCAAACATGGTCCAAAGGCTTCTACGAGAAGATTCTCATCTCTGACTGCTTTTTCAAAGTCCATAAAAGAAAGCTTGCCATCATGGTCATAGTCCTACAGAAGGAAGGGGACTCTTCAGCAAAGGATGATCGCTTGTAGTGACTGTCTTTGTTTAACAGACAACAATTTAAAGACAACTTTACATTTTTAGTTTGAGCGTATACAAAAATAATTTTCTTTCGGCCATCAAAGTCTCTGCTTGGACAAGATCTATATCATTTGCTCCTGCCTAAGGCAGAAAAGGTGGCGCAAGCTCAATGATCCCATACGGCTTCCTTCACAGAATTCCAGAGAAGGCAAACCTTTAACACGGGAAGAGGCTGAGCTGAGAATTGCATGGACAAATCTCAAGCACAGTTGCACTGAGGTAAATTAAAAGTAACTCACTTAAAAGTAGGTGAGAATGTTAGGCTATGTTCTGTGTATGTATTTACATCATGAGCGTACCTACAGCCTACTCATCAGCCCAGAGATGCTCTCCCCAGTGTTTCTATAGCATATAGTGGTTTCTAGATATGCCTGGCCTCTTCCACACGCAGCACCCGGCAGCACATGGAGTGCGCTGGTGTCAGCCCACTCCTTTCACACCACAGGGTCTCAGCGTGGCAGAACAGTCCTCTGGGGGTGGGAAAAGCATCCCTGTGTTTTTAGTATTTCTGCAATGTGAAAACCTCCTATTTCTACTGACACAGCAGCTTAAACCACCACCAAACGCTACAGTGAGCATAAGTGCTTCTTTACACCATATAGCATGGGTTTGAGAAATAGAAAACATGGGGTTAAATCAAAGGACTTGGGATTTGAGACCTGGTTTTCAGTGAGATTTTTGACCACCACCACAGGAGGGGAGGTTATACTTTTTGATTCAAGGAAAATGTTGAAAGACAGTGCTTGCCTGATCTGGAAATCCTAAATTAATCACGGTAAGACAAGTTTTACATTAATAACCCCGAGGTTACTATTCTAACAGAATATTAAATTGGATAAAGGACATTTCATGATCAATTCATAAAACACAAGTGTACCTAATGATAAAGCTACTGCAGATGCCTAACACTAAAATAAGTGCACTTATGAATTTTCTGCCTTTGACTGGGCTTTTGCTCTGACCGGGCACGCACAGGTGTGTACGCGCACACACACTAGTTTATAGACGAAGTTTATAATGCATTCACATAATAAATTAACAGTTTCATGTGAGGACACTGGACTGGGATTTGTTAGATCTAGATTGTATTTCTGGCTTTCCTTTGAAGACTTGCTCAAGCAGGTAACTGTGGCTCAGAGTCCTGCTGTAAAGCAGTCACAGGATTTAATTACCTCACAGCAACATTCCGAGTTAACGAATATCTGAAAGACACTCAAGTATCACAGTAAGTACTTGCCATTTTCTTCAGTGCTATGTCTACCAAGTCCTTAATTCCCTCATCAGGATCTTCTTCTGATGGTTGTTTGAGAAGGCTGTTTTTCAGCATTTGAAACATTTCCTCTCTTGAAATGTATCCATCACCATTCAGGTCGTAAACCTCAAAACAGTCTTTTTGAAAGATAAATAAATTTAAAGTTCATACAAAGTAGATGACACACTATTAAAGCTGTCACCTATAGACAGAAAATGTGAATTGTGTGTTGTACAGCATAATTATTGAGCTACATTTACCACGTACAATATTTATATGCAAAATATGTGTCACATTTTGATATATATACCAGTCAATTATTGGCGATTTACCCTTCATGTTAAAATCTATTTCTGCTCAAATAAATTAGTTTCAGTTCACAGAAACCATAGCAACTTACAGATCTTGTCTAAAAGTGTCAATTTAGAATATAAATGAGGTTCTGGTTTAAAAGCCCAATTTCCCATGGTGGGGACCAGCTGTCTCTATCAGAAGGGCTTTGCCCCTACAGACCACATCCTAGTTATTTCAGGAGCTGGGTTAGAAAAGTAAAGGGAAAAGAAGAATAAACTGTCTTAGTACGGAAAAAAGAACAGAAGTATCCCCTAATGCGAAGGGGAAATCTCTCTAACACAGTATTCCGAGTATCTGCCTAATTTATCTCCTACTTGCTTCTACCTCCCTGAAATCAGAAATAGACAACCGTAAACTTTACTATCCTTCACAAAACTCATTTAAACAAACGAAAAACCCCACAACACTTCAGTTTTGGAACACAACAGGTTTTTTTTCTCCTGACAAAGACTAAGCCTACAGTGCAAACTGTACTGGGATACAGTTATGACACACAACACTGTGTATCACTACGCACTAGCGTATCCTCTTGTGCTTACAACAGGGCTGTGCATTTTATCGCTTGTAGCTGTTCTGACAAACTGAATGACATTCTGGGCACACATCCAGAGCTGTGACATCCCAGGCCACCTTCCAGGGAATTGACAGTGCATTAGGGATGACTGATGCCGCAAGCTGGGAACTATGGAAACAATGTGCTGTCATTCTCCTTTTTCTATTACATTTTTGCCTACATCCCATATATTTTTTTTTCCTTGCTTCTTAAAATTCTAGACGACTTGTTATTTTTTCTCCCCTATCTTTCTCCATCATTACTGGGAGGGTTCTCATGACCATCTTAAAGACAAACTGAGTTTTTCCATCTAGGCTGAAGAACTGCTTGAATTAACGCAACTGCTGCGGGGTTCCCATTGTGCCAGTAAATGAATGCTGGCACAGGTCCTGGCTGGCTTGAGACTGTGTTATTAAGCCAAAAGCACCCTTGAGCTACATCTGCTTCCTTCTAATTTTGTGTCTGAATATAAAAACATATGTTCTGTCAAAACTGTATACTGCAGAACAAGCTTCAGTTCAAACACTAGTTTTTGTCAGCAGCAAAATAAGCTGACAGCTATGGTAACAGACGTTTACGCAGAAAAACCTCTGTCTCAGAGAAGCCATTTCAGAACTCAGTTTTGTTGCACTAAACTATACAGAAGAAAACTCTTCAACTACCAAATACTTTATAAGAGTAGCTAGTAAATTATATCAAAAGCAACATGCACTTTAATAGCCATGAATTCAATGATTACTACTAAATACTATCGTACAGATGAACCTTACGTTTAATCTTTTCCTCCAGCGTCCCCCGCAGAAACACTGACAAGCCTTCCACCCACTCCACCACACTGATGCAGCCGTCGTTGTCTCTATCGAAAGTGCGGAACACTGGGAAGTGTATTAGATACATTTAAAATGTATATAATAGGGAAACACTACCAAAATAGTATTTTTCTAAGTTCAATGAAAATAGAAACACGTATTTTTTTCTAAAAATATTTCTCTGCTTTCATCAAGGTATGATTACCCTTCTTGACTCTTTCTAAGCCATAACAATGAAGGGGATTTTACCCCTCAGTTCACAGATCTTCTACTCCAGAATCCTGCTGGAGTAAGACATTTTGCATGATTTGTTGCTTTCCCGACTTAACTACAGGAAGTATACTTCCATGCAGACATAAGCCAAATAAACCAGTATCCCTTACACTAAGGCATATTTGCATGTAAAAGAAGATTTTAATACTAGACTTTGTCTCAGAAAGTGTTGGAGAAAGCAATCCTAGAAATAATACATAAAAGAAAAATAATCTTCTGTCTTTTATGTACCAAAATCTTTTTTTCGTCTCCCTTCCCTGAAGAAGATTTTGATTTTGCAGCTTCACTATTCATACAGCCTGTAATACAGTACTTCAAATCCAAGATATAATTCAAAGCATCAACAAACATCTATAATAATTCGTATTTTAGAATGTTAATTTTTAAGTTTGCTACAGGAACACCTTTACATGCAGAGCCAAGCAGTCTGGAACTGGAAAGCCACAGGCTTGCTTTTGCAAACTGAAATCAGGTCCCTTGCATATAAGCATTAAAATAATTATGTGTCCACATAAGGTATTTTCCAAGCCACACTTGGTGCATAAAATGGCAAGTTCTTACTTTATGGCATTTAAATACCCCTCCTGCCAGAGGAGAGGAGAAAGCTGAAGGACAGCATGGCTCTTGGCAGCTGGAGACCGCAGAGAAGGGCAGAGTCGTGCCTGCCCTACACCCTACTCCGGACACCCGTGCCTTAGACCATTCACGCCTCTTCCGACGTGGCCCGCCTGTCATGAACCTGTGAAACGGCTGTATTTTGCAGGGTTATTTGCCTCATTACTCTCGCCTCCTGCTTAGTCCCTTCAGTGCTCTTCACACCACCCCTAATGCACCAGCCACCCACTCTAACAGAACACCCTCCTGGGACCTCCAAGCCCCAGAGGGAGCCCCCCCGGAAAAGAGGGAGACATGATGCTGTACTGCCCTCTGCTCTCGCGACATGACAGGGACACAAGGCCACAGGACAGCACTTGGGCTGGTCTCCCTGGTACCACAGCGTGAGCTACCCTGAATTAAGGGAGAAGTATTCCAAACAAAGAAAGTAAAGATATCCTTTACTCAGCACCTCCCGAGCGTAACTTTTCTTACAGGGGTGAGATGGTGCTACTTCGTCTGGGCACACACCTCGGGCCAATAACACGTATCTAAACCCCAGCACTGTTGGTCGCCGCGGTCTCACCTCTGTCCATGAGCATGACATCCGTCATGCCGAAGGTGCTGTGCAGCGTCTCCCTGAACATGTTGCGGTCGAAGCCCGCCCCGGCGAAGCGGCTGCTGGACTGGCCTGGTCTCTTCACCAGCGCGTTGAAAAGCTTGATCAGACATTCCACCTCGCCTTTATTGACTGCCCAGCCAAAACACAAGCACGCATACCTCTTAACTTGTAAGCATACAGGGCAGGCACAGGGAAACCAGAGTGCGTGGACCTCCACCCCCCCCCCAGCCCGTTACACCCCGATGGTCTCCCCCCGGCCCGTTCCTGAGGGGCCGCGGGCAGGGTCCCCAGGCGCTGAGCCCACAGGCCAGAGCGGGGCAGACTCACAGTGCTTGGCGGATCGGCCCAGCGACTCCACCAGCTGCTGCAGCTTCCGACGGCTCATGGCGGCCGCCGCTACCCCGGCAACGCGGGCGGGGCGTCACGGGCCCGGCCCGGCCGCTGGGCCGCACACAAACACGGGCTAGCAACGGGAATGGATATCGAGCGCTAAAAAAAAAAAAAGCAGTCGGAGGAAAGAAAATAACTGAATGTCAAACTTCTAAAAATGTTTCTGGAAGGAAGAGCTAAAAATTACTCCATAGGATACTATTTGCTTGTCTGCAGACACCCACCCATCACACCGCTGCCGCCCCCGCCTCCTCAGGCCCGGGCCTGCGCCGACCGGAAAAAACCAGGGCCCGAGACTGGCCTTTCCTCTGCCCTCAGGAAAACGGTGGGTGTGAGAGGAGTGGGATTAACAAAAACTATTTGTTAATGTCCTAAACGCAGACACAGCCCACCCCGGGTTAAGAGCGGCTTTGCTGTGACCCGACCACAGCTCTGCCGAGGAGGGCGGTAGGGACCCGAGGAAACAGCTACATCTGACAATTAACGACATACCAGCTCACGGATTTGGAAGACTGGGGCTCTCATTTCCATTTTTATTTCTTTCTGTTGCAGGCAGTTGTGTAGAAGTCAAATAAGGTATCACACAGGACAGGGCATTTACACTATGGTTCGTTACAAGTTCTTTTACCAAAACTGCATCACTACAACTTAAAACAATCCCTACAAAACCAAACCCAACCCCCAATCAAACTCCTACTGTTCACTGCATCTTGCTTTTATTTTAACCTCACTGACAAAACAGCATCTAAAATCAGCAACATCAAGCCCAACAGTATAAAATAGTTGATCAAAATACCCTTACTATGGTTTAGAGGGACATTGCTGCAGCTCAGGGGTTGTCTTCCCACCCAAGAACCTAACTTGAAAAAACAATTTCTCTGTAGAATGGCAATGTATCAGCTTTCTACCCCAGTTTTTAGTTATGGTTTGCAGATTAATAACTAAGGTCTCAAAGGGCTTGAAATTCTTGTCAATACAATACTTGGAACACCTGTAGTTGACAGAGGTAAGGTCTGGGCTTGCCCCCGCGGAAGGAGGAAAGGGGGGACCCCGAGCTCACCCCCAGCTGTCGGCCACGGGGATGGACGGGCAGCTGCTGAAGGCTCACAGCAACGGGCACTTCAGTGGAAGAGATAATGAGAATTTCATGTAAAAACTAAAATCAAATGGTTGCTTGTGTTTTCTTGCGTGCACATTTAATTTATAAAAGCTTTTTTCAATTTCTATAGCAACTAATTTAAAGTAAAACAGCTTAATGATTTAGGTCAACATTGTGTAGCCCTCAAGTACAAAAATATAAATACAAACTGTTTAAACAGTGTCTTTAATGAGATTCTGGCAGTAGTTTTTTTATCTAACAAGACACATCACATAACAGGTCTGCCACTGAACTTGCTTAGAGTAAAATCAGCTTCAATATGAAGCTGTTAAGGTATCAAAACCCTGCTTTTTACATGCTAAATATCTTCAGCAAGTGTGCACTTAAACACAGCAATGAACTTAACTATAAGAATAACTAAATACATACACGAAACTCTGCATGTGGAACGTAATTCATAGAACTGGTTACAACAAATGATTACCTGCATTTTGTTAATTTAAAAATGGTACAAATCATGCAAAGCAATTCTAAAGATAACGCAAAGAAAGCTACCAGTGTTTGCAAGAAGTGTTCAACTAAACCAAAATGACATTAAATGAAATACGCGTATTTACTAGCAGAGATCTATCGCTATTTCAGAGGTAAAATCTTCAGGTTTTGAATGTCAGTTTTACTGAAAAATGTCATTGCTCTCGCTTAATGCAGAAGCACATGCTCAGAAGCCCAGAACTGCTTACTTGGAAAAAGCCCGCTGACAGTGGTTCTGGCTTCCCCAGATCAGAGATGCTGCGTGGACTAAAAACAGCAGAGATTTGCAAGACTGAAAGGCAAAGGCACCCTGCTCAGTTAGCCAGAACGCCAGCATTCCCTTTCTTGTAAGCATGAAGACGGTAATGGGGCAGATGATAAACATTTCTACAAAGGCAGCATTTTAAATGTTACCATTAATTTCCCATTCTGTAAATGCCATTAGCAGACAAACTATTACAAGCTGGTGTATAATATTAACCTGCAGGATGAACTTGGGATTTTATTTGTCCTGATTTACAAATAAAGACTATTACTAATGCTTTAAAAGACTATTTTTACTATCTAAAAGGCTTAACTCCCATTTTCCAATATTTTACACCTCAGCTGGACTACCATCTTGTATTGTTTCAAACATCTAACACTGCTTACTGGAATTTTATAAAAGTTGTACCTCATGTATTAAGCAGCAGGCAATAACAATGGTCTTCCCCAGCACAGCTGCACCTGGCTGGCTACTGAAAGATCGGGAATATTTCTAAAACACAGGAAAACTCATGCAGTTTGGTAAAGTTTGCTGTCATTTCACAGTTTAAGTTTCCTTTAGTCATTGCACTTCTGTTGATAGTCTTGTATTTTAAAAACATTATTCCAAATCTGAATTTGAACCAGCAATCTTCTTTTTCTTCTTTTTACCGTGTTTCTTGTGCTTCTTTCTCTTTTTTGCTTTATCCTAAAAAAGTAATAAAATTAAATGAAAGTTATTGTATGAGAAAATTGATGTCTATTAAATTCTGCTAATGCAAAAATGAGAGCACAAGAAGGATATCTTTACAAAGGCATTTCAAAAGAGGTTTCTATAAAAGCCTATTGAGAAGTCACAAAAAGAGAATTAATATTTTACCCAATAATTTGCAATATTTTGAGCAGTCTTCAATTTATCTCCATCATGGTCTGGCTATTTCACACCTCTCATCACTGTCACTATTACATTTTCTAAGCTTTTAAATGATTTTCAGTACTTTATAGGTTTCTAAGAAAGTAATAAGGAAGTGCCTTGACAAGCAGTGACATCTCATATACACAGGAATAACTAGAATGTTTACAGATTTTAAAGTCAGTGCTTATATTTACTGTTCAAAATTAAATAGTTCAACTACACTTGGCTAGGATCTCCAGCACTTGTATCTTGTTTAAAATAAAATAAAATAATTAGGATCGCAATTGTGAATACAAATACACTCAATTAACACTACTGGATTCATTATCCTGATCCGCAATGAAGAAGCTGAGATACACAATCTTGTCTTTATACAGGCAGAATTTAAACTGGAATTCTTGAATAGATGCAACATCTAAACAAACCAATCTTGGCATAAAAGCTTCGTTTTACACATATTATTTACACACACGATTCCCCTAAGAAAAAAAACCACAACCAGTGACTAGAAATTTTATGGCAAAGCTTATGTGATTATGAAAAAACCAAATAAGTTCCATGGAAAACATGTATAGAGTATCACTGATACTCCTGTGCTTGCGTTTTCAGGTGACTGATCTACGCCTTCCCTTTGCCCCAACTCATCTAGACAATGGCGATGTTTAATTAGGAATGCTGCCACTGACAGGGAGATAAAGACACATAGACACCTCGAATGAGTGTTTTGGGTCTCAAAATCCCTATACTCCCAACTGAGGAGCCCCAGGTACATGTGATGAAGCTGGGTTCTGTATAAATCACTGCTGAACCTTCCTCTCACTTTTGCCAACAGAAACAAATCAACAAAATGGAGAAAACTAACAGGCTGCCGTCAGCTTTTTATTTGGTTGGGGGAAAAAAAAAATATATATTAGGCTAGATGTTGCAGTGATTATGCCCTCAGGCCCCTTTCACAGTCTGGTAGAGGGAGGCTGAGCAAGGAACACACAGGAACAGCACTCCCACCCTGTGGCAAACTGCTGCCCTGCCCCAGGCACACAGACCTTGGCGGTTCTAGTAGTGAACTGATCAGTTCCACTCTGGTACAGGGCAAAACGTACTATAATCAGCGGCAAACTTTTATCATCTCAAATCATACACATGTATTGAGGTAAAATAGTGACAAATTCTTCTTTTAGTTCAACAATTGAAAAAGTGACTTCAGCAGGTAAATAGAGAAATTGTAAATTTAGATACAAGTGACAGTAGACTTCTGCTATAAAACATTTGTATTGCTGAAAAAATGTGAAATTGGAAATTAACCAAGTACAGAGCATTTATATCCTAAAACTACACTATAAGTAAAGAAGGATACTTGCTGTTTTCTCTTTTTCCTCATTGTTTCTCTTCTTTTTTGCTTGCACCTAAAAAAAACCCAAAACATTTTAAATTGAATGTAACGGAAGAATAGCTTTGGAAATGCTGTTTTACATAAAAGTTTGAGTATTTGTTGCATAGAAACGAATGACAGCACAACAATGGTAGAATATACTGAACAATAACCCATGAAGAAACACTGGTTTATCTGTATTGTATTCTAGACTATTATCCTATAAATAACTGATTTGGTAACACACTTTACTTTTAATACACAGCAGAACAAGAAACAGCAGAGATATAAAGGTAAAATTACTAAGCTAGTAATATGGTAAAAATTACTAATGAAAAACTGCAACACATTGGAACATTCCCAGAGTTTGTAATTCTACAAGAATACAAATCCTCAAAGTAGATATACATAGGATGACAATAAGATTATTTCATACAAAAATTTATAATTTGCTGGAAAAGGGAGCAAAAATATTTCACCCATCTTGAAATCTGCCAATCTGTTCACAAGCATCAGGGAGAAATTTTGTGAAGGACACCGCACCAGTCAGTGTTATTTCACTGAGCTCTAAAGTATCCATGAAGAGTTGAAACTTTTCAAGAAAATGAATTCAAAATGACTTGTAGGTGACAGGCACTGTACTGAACAACTCTAACTTAGAGTTTTTATTAAGAAAATAAAATAAAGAATATGAGAAATAAAATACAAGAAAAATACAAACAAGTTTGAATGTGCTGCACTCAACTGTACAGAGCAGAACAGTTTCAACAATATATTAAATCTAAATTAGTTCATTCATTCACTCCTGCGAATCAGTAAGCTAAAAGCATTATAAGATCTGAAATTGAGGTTTCACACTGACCTCCTCTGTATGATCTGATTCCGATAAGGATTCTGATGATAAAGGTCCATCACCACGACTGGCTTTCTTCCTCTTCCTGTGGTGATTTTTGCCTTCCTACACAAGCAATGTATTTGTGAGTAAAGTCAGGCCTTTCAAACTTTAGAAAACTTCAGATTGAAATATTGTTTCTAAGCAGAAGTTTTAAGTTGTGAGATATTTTTAAATATTGTTGACATTAAACTTGTCATCAACAAATTACCCTTTCAACTGTTAAAATGCTGTTAGTGGAAATAATCTTTTTCTGTATATTCCTTTCTCTTGTGACGAAGATACAGCAGCCTTCTCAAAGCCACGGGAGTCATACTACAATATTAA